TCATACCTATTTCTTGTCTGAAACCCTTCAAATATACAATATACGTTTGGGATGAGGAATAAGCCTTATAAGTTTATTACTCAGTTTTATGGCACGAAAATTAGCAGATTTGCAAAATAGATTTTTTTAAACTTATTTTGCTCTTCTTTTTCCAAAAATACTGCGCTATCTCATGATTTCCCTAACCTCAAATTCACGAAGGCAAAACAAAATTGTCTGTTCTTTGAACATATATCGTTAAAAAGTTTCCGCTTTTTATTAATGTTCTTTTATAGTGTAACACGCAATAACAAGGAGTTTTTCGCCGCGGCGTTTAAAAGCGTAGGAAATTACATGGATATCAATAAACCTTGGATTTGGTCTTCATTCCACCCTTTTTCCCGAGTATACTGAGCTGAAGTGGGCTCTTTTCTAGTAAACAACATTTTGCACCTCAAGTCAACTAAGTGAACAAAATAAACGACCGCAAATGTATGTAAATCACCCACTCAAATTTTGCTCTTCACATTTCATCAGATGTGCAATCAACTTTACTTTCGAGTATTTATTTTACATCAATATTGGTTATTCTCTTCCTTCTGTACTTAGACTGATGTATATAATATGTGATCAGGACCAGTGGTTCCCTCGGGAATACTTTGCTTAAAAACAGGGAAGAAATTGTTCCATCAGTTTTTGAAGCATTTGTTCCTCGGTACAAATTTAAAACAAGCGTACACAGCAGGCTTTATTGAATTTCGTAAATTTCATCTGATAAATTTATGGTTTCCCTAGACGTCGAACCGCTATTTACAAACGTACCGCTGGACCACACAATAGACATTATTTGTACCCATGCGTCTAAAACCCGTCTGACATTTCAAATGCAATAAAGCGATGATTGCGCTGTACTATAGAAAGGACATACAACGCAGCAAAACTCGTCTTCTTAAGTCCTACTAAAAGCATTCCAGTAAAACGGGCAAAGGATGCTTTGCCGTTTCCCACCACCTCATACTGTATGCATGAATTCACATGTACTTGCAGATGCAAGTACATTGAGCGCATGCAAAGGCAACCGGCAGCCAGGGCAGCTGAGCACTTGCCCAACTGGCTTTTCAAACAAGAAGCTAAAGTACCACGGTCCTCTATTACTAAGCATCTGCTAGACAGTCGTCATTCTGTCGAGATAAAAACAGCGTTTCGAGTACTTATTCGGGTACAAGCAGATCGAACCCTGCACTATTTTGAAACTGTTTACATACGGCGGGAGTAACCCGACCTATGCAAGCAGCTTGACCATGTAGTCAATCTCCAATTACCCAGGTAAGTGAACACTTAGTTCTTATCCCCAGGTAATTTTCGTTAACTTCCCACAACCCCCCTTCCTTTCTATACGTTGATCAAATGCAATGTCCTTTATCTTATCATAATTTACACTAAACTATGATCCTTGCTATTATGCCATTCCATTCTGTGAGGTTTCAAAATGCTGTATGTCCTATTCGTTATCAACCTCATACAACGAGAGGATGCAGTTGAGAAGCTGTCACGAAATCTATTGAATTCAATAAATATTGCTGTGTATGCCTGTTTTAAGGAAGTTTGATGAATGTACTACCTACCTGGTTCGGTAATTTGACACCTTTGGTTCGATCGGCGTACTTT